TGTTAGGGCATGAATGCATTTGTGCAAAGATTTCATCAACTCATTATAACTGTATAATATCTAGCACAGTGTCTCATGCAGACAGATGAGCAACAAGTGTTATTGTTGTTGCTTATTCTGGTTCTATAACTAATTAGCTGTGTGAGCTGCAGCCAGGGATTCTTAATCTGTGTTCAAATTCAGAGGCTCCATGGAATTGAAAAGGGGGAAAAAAAATTACATCTCTCTTTACTGACACTCGACTTCAATTATGACTGCAAGCAATAAACCACAGTAGTACCTACGATACTGTCACAGACAGAAATCACAAGTATTTTCACATCAGATGATGGTTACTGCAGATATCTTGAAAAATCATATATGCTCATCACTAATTCAAAAGGATGGTAGTTATTAGACCTGCCACTAGATTTTGTTATTGAATATAATAATAAAGAAGCACATATATGACAATATCACAAGTTTTGAAAAATACCTTGACAACCGTATTTCAATGCAACTGGATTCATTTTCAATCTTTCATATTTGACATTGTGCACTTAAAAACATGACTCTGAAAAAGGGGCCCACCAGCTTAACCTCATGGCCAAAAGGGTTCATGCAATCAAAAAGGTAAGAACTCCTGGTATTCAGCAATTCACTTCTCTCTTTAGGCACCCAGTTCCTGTCTTTAAAAGGAACTGGACTAGTTGCTCTCTGAGACTCCTCTCAGCTCTACCCCACCAGCTACAGTATATGGAACAGGGCTGAAGAGGAGGAAATGGGCGGAAACCCACAGCACACCTGAGTGCATTCACAAAGAGCAACAAGTCTGGTTTCAGTTTTTACACCAGCATTTGAGAGCCTAAGAAGTTAAATGCTTTTGGGCTCACTGAGCCTAGCACAACTAAATAGTTGAAAAGCTAACCGTGAAAGTGAATAGTCCTCCAAACCACCTTTTATCACATTGTAAAAACACATATCCCAAATCCCAACAAACAATAATGAACTATTTGGCCAAGAATCCACCATCAACATCTTCTAGATCTGTTCTTGATAGAAATAGCTTGTTTGGGAGCCGACTTAAAATAAATGTCCCAATACTCAGAAGACTAATCTGAATATTTGTCCCGCATGTTTGCTTAAAATCTAAATAAAACTGTTTGTACCTTCAAATAGAACTAAAGGAGAAAGAAAGAATAAAGGAAAAAGGAAATAAGAAAAGAGTTTTCCATGGCTGTGGGGCAGAACACTAGGTACTAAGCCCTTCACACGTGGGTACTAATGGACCAGAAGTTACAGAAGCCAACCTACTGGTCCTCTCACCTGAAAACCCAGATAACACCATAAGTCATTTCAGCCCACCTAATGCTAGAGATTGAGCCAACAATGCTATGTTTAAGAACTAAAGAAAGCCCAGACAGATTGCATTTCAGTCCCTGTAGAAAAATCTAGGCTATGCAGGGACAGCCAATAGTGGCACCAAGATAACATACTGCAGTAGAGACTGCTAGCTTCACTGCCCACCATTCAAAGCGAGATCAAAGCGCTACTCTCACCCAGAGTAGCTCTGAGCCATTACAATGCTTCAAAATGACCATCACATGGTTTTCTTCACCCAGAAACGAACTCTGTCTAGCAGACTCACAGAAGTGACAACAATCGTCCCCCCAAAAGTCCAACAAGCCAATTTTTCCAATTACATTTCAACAAGCCTATCTATTCGATGCTTCCTTGTTTCTCAGCAGCACATCTCACGCTTTTACTTGCAAAGATAAAGACAGACGGAAGGCTCTCACTTTGTCCATCTAACAGAACAAAGCAAAACTCATCCTGGAGTGAATGAACTGCTTAAACCTAATGGGGAAAAACCAGCTTTAAATCCTCACAGAAAAAAACTTGGCTAGTGCTTTAGGATGTCACCTCAACACCAAGGACAAGCAGTTACAGAATGAAAGCTCTGCATCTGGCAGTATACCCCTTGGGTGACAGGGGTACAAAACCATAAACTTCTGGTTCACTGAGCCCAAGAATAAGAGGATAAGTAATAACATAAGGTATCGCACAATGTAGGAATTGTGAGGTGTGAAGGTTTGAGGTCTGGTGAATATCAAATCCGAAGGTGGCAATGGGAATGGATTTGAGCCCTAAAGGAAATTCTGGATTGCGAGCACTCTGGACAGGGGACAAGCAGAAGGGAGCAAAGTCCCAAAGGAGGGGCTCTCCATGGCTCATTGCACAAGAGCCAGAAGGGCAGGTCTGCACTGGAGGGTTCATGAAAGAAGCAGTGAGAGATAAAGATAGTGAAGATATGTTGAACTGGATTACGGGAAACTTGAAAGCTGGGCTCAGTTTAGACTTTACCCTATAGGCCAAGGAAGGCTTCTAAGCAGAGAGGTGATATGAACAACAATATGTTTTAGGAATAAACAACAGTGATTTATTGTCAGATAATCTGTCCTAACAGTGGGTCCTTTCCTCAAGTACAGATTAATCAGACTCTATTGTGCCCAGTGAAATGAGTGTCGAAAATTATGTCTTGGGGCAATTTTGCTACCACCTATGCCCTGGAAATCCAATTCAAATACTTTCCTTTACTGATGACAAATAACAA